GTGTGGTCTGGGACCCAGAAAGGCAGATGAGGCCCCATGCTCAACTGAACCGCAGTGCCACTGAGTGAGGCACTTAAGAGCACTGGCCACCTGCTAAGTGCAGGGTCAGAGATAATGGCTCTCCAAAGCACCTTCGGAATAGCACAGAGGATTTTCTGGAATGTGGTTGCACGGTAGCAATAACAGCCTCCATTTGTGCAGGGCTTGGGGCCTCATGCATCCCGGATGCTGGGTGTTCAGCTGCTGTTTTCTGTACTGATTTTCAGACATTTCTCCCTCCGCCTTCCTCTCTCTCTCCCCCTCCTGACTGCCCAGTTCATAGACAGACCCTGTGTCCTACATTCACTTGGGAAAGAAATGTGGTGCTTGTTGTACCCTCTCTGTCCTGCCAGACATGGTGTCTGGGTGAGGGCACCCCTCTGAGAAGCTCTCTGATAGCGGGCCCTGGTCTGTCCCCCACGGGTTCCACAGCACTGTCACCAGTGCCTGGAACGTCATCAGCACACAGTGAATTATCAGGAACAAGGCAGCTCAGTGTGGGCACATTTGTTCAATCAAAGAAAAAACAAGAAATTCCCCAATCACTACGTTGTGCTGTGTCTCAACCTCAAAGACAGGAGCTAGTGTCCCTCTCCAGGATGATTGGTGATGTTCCTGGGTGACAGTCCCTCTCCCACCTGCCCTGGCTGGCCTCACTTGTACCTGACCACTTGATCCCAGTGTCCCAAAGTTCAGGCAGGTCCCAGGGGTCATCCATTTCTGGGGGCTCCTCTCTCAGTGCACCTGTGGAGTAGGATGGCAGAAGTTCAATCTTGGTGACAGGGGCCTTGCTGTCATCTGCCCACACAAGCCACAAAAGCCATGAAGAATCAGACCTGAGAGTCTCGGTGTCCCTAAGGGCCACTGTACTCGAATCAGGCAAACTTACTTTTGTGGGTGCCCTTACCTCTGTCAGCAGTGGGGGGCTGCTGACTCGAGGCCTCTCCCATGTACTCGCTGGGATGGGGCCGGGCATGTCTCAGCTCGGGCCGAGAAACCATGTTCTGTGGAGGGGAAAACAGCTTTAGTGCAGGCATGGGAAGGAGGTGCACGGGGCTGCCTGAAGAGGGAGAACCTTGGGTCACAAAGCTGCGGCTCAGGAAGGAACAAGGTCCCCTGCGGCTAAAGGAAGGACAAGGTCCCATGCCAGTGCCTCCTGGTGTGGGGTCTCCCCCGCCATGTCTCACTCCTCTGGGGTGCCCTCTCCACCACTCGCCAGGCTGTCAGTAAAGCAAACCACTGAGACACGTCAACAGCGAACCTTCCTACAACCCCATTCAGGGCACGGAATGTGTAAGCACCTCCCTGTGCGTGCTCAGGTACATCCTGCCTGCTTTTCCCACCACTAGGTCCCGTGTAAATGTTTAGACAATGCATTGAAGCTGGGTTATAATCCAGCAGTGCTGCTTAGGAGTGGGTGTGGATTCCCAAGTCCCTCATGCCTCTGAGCATCAGTGATCAGTTTACACGTCTATAAAATGGCAAAAAACCATTTTAGCCATTTCATACTTCCTGGAGAAGTATGAATCCTATGTATTCGACTTTGCTATGAGGACAATTAATCACAACTAACAACATGGTGGGGGATGGGGAGAGCTGACAGAGAAGGAGGGAGGGGGTGAGGGTAAGGGAAAAAATAGTGACTAATTGTCACATAGATTGGATTCGATTTTGACTAAAGTACATTACTTAAACATTAATTCTTACTTCAACTTGTTAATATGTTGTTTAGGAGACAGGATATGGCATCCTCCTTTAAAAGTCAATTATGTTCGTAATTTTCCCTTTATAATAATACATTTTTTCCAATTTTAACATCAGGTGTATCCCGATTAAGCAGAATGATTTAAGTATTTCTTCTCTTTCTATTGTCTATACGATTTGGCGTGACCTGTTTTTGAAATTATCTTTTATTTTTATTTATAAATATTAGTTGTCTATTTTTTGAGACTTTGGGAAAAACAGAATTTAATTGGTGACTCTATACTGAACCTCAGACTCAAAGCATTCTATAATCGACACTCTTATCTGACAATGTGAATGTTACTTTCTTGTTACTCTTATTATTATCGCTTAATACTTCGTTGCAGCAATCGTCTGGTTTCTTTTATGAATATATTTATCTTCATTACGAGATTTTTGTTTCTAGTCCTCATCTGAAACACTGTGGTTGTTGTTAAATTTTAAGCCTTTTTGATCTTGTGAAGGAGAAAAGTGGAAACCTAGTAAACACATGTATATGTAAAAATAAAAAAAAAAATTTTTTTTTAAATGGTAAAAAAAAATCTTTGTTCCCTGCAGGGTTATGAGATTGAAAGTGACATGACATTAATGGTGAATAAAGGTCTGGAAAGTGACTGCCATCAACCAGGCATCCCGTAAATAGTAGCAGTTATTACCGCGCCATGCTGCCTGGATTAATGGCCCTTTGTCAGAACCACATTCTTTCCAGACTGCTGTAAAACCTCTTCATAACCCATTTTCTCCACAAAGTCTTTCTCAGTTATGTGGTTCTGGACACACTTGACAGTCCAGTTGTGGCAGTTCTTGTCCTTGTTCTGGCACATTATAGACAAAGCAGTCCAGGGACTCTCACAGGCAATTCACAGAAAGTAAACACAATGGCTAAAATACCTGTTGAAAATTAAAAGCTTAGCCTCACTAGCACTCCACCACATGTGAGTTAAAATAGAGACAAATTATCAAAGAAGTAAATAAAAAATTAAAAAAATGTGACATGCTATGCTGGAGAAGATGCTGTGAGATGAGCACTGCTGGAAACTCGGGAAAACAGTTGTCAAAATGTCTAAAGTCCTTCCATTTATCATACACCTTTGACCCAGTAATTCCACTTCTAGGAATTAGGAATCTCAGAACGTGTGCTCTCAGACCATGAGACACCTGAATTGCTCTAATCACCTCTTCTAAGAAGGCCTGCTAGAACTGAGTCTGACTCAGCTCTTTTTCTTAAATCAACCTATTTCCTACATACTAGAATGCAAGTCCTACAGAAAAGGGAGCTTTAGTCTGTTCCTTACTATATCCTTGGTGTCTGGGCCAATTATAATGTACAGTAAACATGTATTGATAAAGTGAATGGGATATGCACCAAATATCTGTCATTTCTAGAGTTGAGAGATTTAAAAAATTGGGAAAATATGCAAACTCAAGAAAATGCCTTAGAAAAACTGAATGAAAGGCACTTTTTTGGTCCCCACAGCATTATCTCAACAAGATTCAAAAATGTTCCATGGGATTCAGAGGGCACAGTGAAATTGTGGGTGGTATTCTTCTAAAATTTCCAAATTTTTAAATGACTCTTTCAAAAAGATGCAGCTTAATCCCCAAACCTGCAAACGTAAGGCAATTTCAGGGACACCTATATTGTTTCTGTTGCTCACGTTGACAAAGCTGGAGGCTAGAAGCGGCTGACTCTGTGAGCCCCATCACAGGGGCTTTCATCAGCTTGCTGAGCCCAGGGAAGCCTGCCCTGACTCTCCCCCACATGGCCGCAGGGCTCAGTACATGCTCCTGTGATTGACGGATCCTCATCTCTCAGTCACTAGTTTCCAAAAGTCACATAGCAGGTCTTTGATTCCAGTTTAATGAGTGCTCACAGCACACAATAGGCCCGCATTGGCTTTCTGAGTACAATTCTGGGACGCGCCCAGTGCAGACTTGGACTGCACCAGCCAATAAAGGGAGGAGCTATTGTTCTCCCCAGCACAGATGAAGGAACTCAGGCACAGAGGTTGAGTATCTCATCCAAGGTCCCAAGTCCCAGGTCTGCTTGAATCCAGCCTTCTCCTGAAGGGCTAGGTGCATTCTCCTCCTGGCCTTCTGGCTCCTAGGGGCAGGCTGCTTGCTAATGCCCTGTCCCCTGGAGCTGCTGGGCCTTGCTGGATGGGGCTCCCTCTGAGCAGGGGGCCTGTGCAGGGGAGAAGGATGCAGAGGCCAAGGCTGACCTGGGCCAACACCAACCCCAGGTTAAGGCTGCCATGTGGCCAACTCTCCACTCACCCACCCCCTCATTTTGAACAGCAGAGATTAAATAGAATAGTCACTTCTGTGACTATCCTAATGAGAGAAACTAACAATTTTGGTACTCTCAATTTCCATCAAGCACTATGGGGGGTACGCGACTTACCATAGAGACCCGGGAACAAGCTTGAGCTCCACCCCCAATGCACTGCCACTGTGGATAAGTCATTTGACCTTCCTTTCCCCCGTTTTCAATAAGTATATGAGGATTAGGACAATGCCTACTTCACTGGGTCACTAGGAAGTTTTTTTTTTTTGAGACAGTCTTAAGCTGTCTCCCTGGGTAGAGTGCTGTGGCATCATAGCTCACAGCAACCTCTAACTCTTGGTCTCAAGCAATCTTCTTGCCTCAGTTTTCCTTTTTTTACTGGAAATGAGGTCTTGCTTTTTGCTCAGGCTGGTCTTGAACTTGTAAACTCAAGCAATCCACCTGCCTCGGCCTCCCAGAGTGCTAGGATTACAGGCATGAGCCACTATGCCAGGCCAACTAGGAAGCTTTAATTTCCATAAGGTGCTTCCAAGGGTAATCCGCTAAATGAATCCATTTATATCACCATGCAGAAACTCTGAGCGTTAGTGTTCTTCTCAAGAGAAAGACAATTAAGTTGAGCCCCTCAGAAGCATGAAACTGCTTGGACCAAGGCCACGGCCACAAGTTTAGAGTTTCTCTGACCTCCAAGTCTCTGCTTGACTCTCAGGGACGGGACATGGAGCACACAAAACTCAGCCTGTCAGGTGATACCAGTGGCTCAAAGGGGTAAGGCGCTAGCCCCATATGCTGGAGATGGCAGGTTCAAACTCAGCCCTGGCCAAAAAAAAAAAAATGCAAAAACTGCAGAACTCAGCCTGCCATGTATGGTGCAGACACAGCTGAATGAATGAATGAATGAATGGCAGAAAGAAGTCTCCTGTTAATAGCTTCAGTACTAGGCCAGTGGGGAAGGCACTTTACCCTGGAGGATGGTACCAGTTTCCCACTTACTGTATAGACACCAGTAGCTGGACATTGTGGCGGGCACCTGTAGTCTCAGCTACTTGGGAGGCTGAGGCAAGAGAATCACCTAAGCCTAGGAGTTGGAAGTTGCTGTGAGCTGTGACGTCACAGCACTCTACCGAGGGTGATAAAGGGAGACTCTGTCTCTAAAAAAAAAAAAAAAAAAAAAAAAAAAGAAAAAACAGACGCCAGGAGGGAAGCAGGGGAATTCCCTGGTCCAGGTCTCCAGGCAGCACCTCGTCCCTCAGACACTAGCACGGAAGCACTCGGCTGCATTCAGACCTTGAGGCCTCTGGTCTTCACGTTCATGGGCCACTTGCAGCAGCCATCAAGTCAAGTTCACCCTAACTTCGACCTAACTCATCATTTCCCGATCACCGCAGTCATTTTCCTACATGACTGCCATTGTCATTCCAGCATCTCAAACTCATTTCTTACTGTCCCCAAGCCCAAGCAGCACCAGACCTGCTGATTCTACCTGGGAACATCTCATGGCTCTCTCGCCTCTGCTTCCTGGTGCCACCTCCCTCATCCGGGCCTCAGCAATAGCCGCCTTGACTAACTCAGCAGCCTGTTTGACTGGTCGGAGCCCCAGTGTCTCCCCAAAGGTTGGCACTCCTAACACATAGCAATGGGGTGGATGTCACCAGATTCACTGTCATTTCTAGGTCAAATGACCCCCTCTTCCTGTCAGTTCCCTAAAATTGGGACCCTGAACACTCCCTGAGAGTCCCACCTCTGCCTTTTACAAGGTTTTTGCCAGATCCCTCTGTCCCTCCCTCCTGCCCCTGAGCTCTTCTCCAGCCCTCTCTGATCCTGCCCTCCTCCACGCTCCTGGCAGTGCTGCCTGCACAGCTCACCTGGCCACCCTCCATCGTGACACTGACACTGTCGAATTGATTTCTAATAACAACTACCATTTAATGAGCACCACGGAGTCCCAGCCGCTGTGCTGGAGCCTGACAT